TGATATAGTTAATTCTGGTGCTGAAGATGATCCAAATTCTGTGATAGCTGGAATGCCAGTGTTAAAAGTTTGGAATGCAAATCAGGTGAAATTTAGAGATAATAAAAAAGTACCAGTTTTTAATAAGTACTCAAGTCTAATTTTTTTCTTATTTAGGTTATTGTAATGAAGCGATCCTTGGGTTTTGGATATGCAGCTGTTGAAAATCCAATATTTTACAAGCCAAATACCAATATGTTATTAGGAGATGCAAAAACAACATGTGAACAGCTTTTGGCTCAAATTAAAGATAGTCAATAATTAAATGAGTGAGTTTTTTTATAATGATTGTAATCATATTGTTGACTTTCATGCTTAAACAATGTTTTTTATATTGAGATTTTTGTACCATTTATTAAAAAAATTAATTGAAGTTTGTTGATTACTATAACTTATTTTATTTTGTAATTATTTAAATTATTTTTGAAAAATTATGTAAGGATGTAACCATTTTTTATTGTATAAATTATATTTTAATTATATTGTATATTTTTACATTTTATAAACGTACCTGCATTATTTATATTTTGTGTCTTTTAAAAGGAGAGGTAAATGATATCCCTTGAAAACTATAAGTTCAACATCCAACGTTTATTCTCATACACATCAGAGTTTTTAGTTTTGAATTAGGTACTAATAAAAAAAATATTTTTTCAATACTTACTAGAATAGTATATTGTGTGGCAAGAGAGGGAAGTAGAAGAGATATTTCAGTCGTGGGAGACGTGTTCGCCCAAGTCTGAAATGGCCTTCCCGCACGAGCCGCACACACCATTTTTGTCCTAACCTAACCTAGCCTAACTGGCAAAAGTAATGCCAGGGATCTATGCAACAACCAGACTATTCTACGAAAATAATTTCATCAAACAAAAATGTTTACGAGTCGTGCAAGGTGGCAGTGGCAGTCAAACGGTGGGGGGGATAGATCCCCCCCATGACTTTTTTTCTTTAATATTTGTAACGATTACATTTATGTATATTGTACTATAATGTTAATGTATTACATATTGCTTTAATTTTTTCTCAAAATAACCTTATGAAGTTATGACTTATGAGCATATATTATTATTATATAGATTCTAGAGTTCTAGACTCATTCTAGGAACAAGGCTGTTATTACACACACCCGCATGTGCTGCCTCCGTCTTACAAATGTACAACATAGCAAAAACTGTTTAGCGCGGGATAACTTTTCTCGCACCATATTTGTTGTAGAATTACCAAATTTTCACAACACGTATCGAAGAACTTTATCTGTGCAACAGCGTGCTTTTTTTTTAAATTACACCTTCCAATCATTTTTTATAAGCAAATGAAAAAAACAAAAAAACAAAATGTTTAGAAGCAAATAACTTTTATTGTATTTATGTTATCTAAAATATAGGCACGCTGTTGCATAGATAATTTTCTACTCGATATGTTCAGAAATTTTGGAGCCACTACTACAAACACAGAAAGATAAAAGTTGTCCCGCGCAAAACAGTTTTTGCTATGTCGTTCCTTTGTAAGACGGAGACAACACATGCGGGTGTGGCGTCCTCTTAATGTTTATAGAAACCATAGGCCTTATCCCACTATATAGAGGAGAAATGTGTATAACAAGAATTTAGGCGTCCCCAAAGCCGGAAAAAAATTAAAAGTAAAAATATTAAACAATAATATGTAATTCAAATCAATAATTAATAAATTTACAAATGATTAAATGAATAATAAAACTGAATAAATAAATATGCATGTATTAATATAATATTCAATAATACATTATAAATTATAATAACACCATTGCCTATACAAAATTCACTAATATAAGTAATATATATATTAAAAATATTAAACAATATACAAATTACAAATACAAATAAATAAATGTACTGTTTACGAGATTTTTCATGAAATTATCATACAAATTGTTAAATAAATGTACACATTTTTTTTAACATTTATTAGAAATATAAGATCTATAATAATGGTTACAATTAGCATATTAGCTGAATTTACATGTTTTTGAATATGCGAGGTGAGTAGTTACCCATAGCAGTAACACTCGACATGATATTTAAGGTTTTTTTTAATTATTATTATTTTAATTATTATTATTATTATGATTTAAATGTTAAGTAACGTTTTTAACTAGCTAAATCGCGACACCAGCGCGGCAGCGCCTCTTTAATCTTCCCGGTAGATTACCAGGAATGTTTGCGGAGTTGAGGGCGAGAATTAGTGGATTGGGATGGTTTGTAAGGCGAGAGTGGTACCGCTTGTAGGAGGATGCGCACATCGGCTACAATTGGTAGTCTAAGATCTGAGTGTAAGGTATGATTTCTAACATAAAAGGAAGCGTTGGTAATTATACGAAGTGTTATTGATTGGAACTTTTGCATTTTATAAATGTTCGATTTTTTTGCCGTTCCCCGTAATCGGATGCCGTAAGCCCAAATGGGTTTCAGATGGGTTTTGTAAAGCAATAGTTTATTATCAAGGTTTAATTTGGATTGTTCACCTAGTAGTGGATAAAGACATTTTTGTCTAGAGTTAAGTAAAAGGCGTTTTTGTTTAATATGTTCTGCCCAAGTTAAGCGTTTGTCTAGGAGTAGACCTAAGTTTTTAACTTTGGTAACTAATGCCTTAATGGTATTATTTTGTTTGCCAGAGAGACCGGAGGGACTACGCCTTGTCTGAGGGTAAAGGGTAAAGGTTATATGTGAAGACTTTTATTGTTTATTTTTATTTTCCAGTGTCTTTTCCACTTCCATGTCTCTTTCCATACCTACACTCATGACTCATTGCTTGTCTAGAAGTATATATGGGCGCATGTAAACTTCGCCACAAGTACCTTTTTTTAGTGTAAGCTCCGCCAGGAAAAAAAACAAGTAAAATTAAGTTCATGTAAACTTTGTCAGTAAAGAAAATCGAGTCACAGTTTAAAATTAATAATGTCCCAAAAAATAAACAAAAATGAATAAAAAATAATGATTGTCAGAACAAATCATCCAAAATGTCATGTGTAGATATTAATTTATTATCATAATAAATAATTGTAATAATCATAAAATATGACGTATCTAGCAACCTAGGTACCTTCGAGTATATGTTGTGTTATGTTATAATATGTGGAACTGTGAACTAGAATGATGAGATGCAATTTGTAGATATTCTGACATCTCATGAGTCTAGTATAAATCCATTATTATAACTGTTTATAACATTCTTTAACACTATCATTTTGAATTTTTGAGCTTCTTTAGTTGAGATATATAATTAAGTTTAACATGGCACTGGCAGAGTTTCCATAAATCCTTTACAGGTAAGAAAATAAAAACGGCGGAGTTTACATTAGACCTTTTCATTACCTTTTTATCTAACCGGTATTCTGGCGGAGTTTACAATCGCCCAACTATATACATATAGTGACATGTATAGGAATTAATTTCGGCGTGGGAGGTGAATTAAGAGTGACCCCCCGTCCCCCCATATATACACCACTGCAAATACATATACACATGAAGGGTAAGCGTTTGTAATAAAGTAATAAAAGATTAATAAATACTAAGTTCTAAATGTAATGATTTTTCGAGCGGAGCGATAAAATTTTTAAAGGTTTAACCGGCGTATAGCTATATATAGGTACATTTCAACTACTTTTAGGTGCGTATGCCCAAATGTCCATACATTTATTTACCAATACGGCAATATACACCACTGAGTATAAGGACTATGATAGAAACGAATAATTTGAGAACTTGAAATACAGTCACGTTAAGAGGACGCCATGTGTCGTATCAGTCTTCCAAATATGTACAACATAGCAAAAACTGTTTTGAGCGAGCGGGGGCGGTTCCGGAGACTTGGTTGGGGTGGGGCCTAATAGTTGTAATTTTCACAAGACTTATAACAACAAATATAAAACAACAATTTTTACAACTTTTATTATTTATTTTTTTGAATAATAACAATACAATTCTTATCAAGACAATATTCTTAGTATTTCTCCAAGTTATTTAGTACCTATTCTCGTAGTCCACACAGATAGTAGATGCATGTTACAACTCATACACCGACGTACCTCCAATAATTACATACTTTTACGCGGGTCTATAATAATAGTCGATACTATAATATGTTTTTTTGTTAGTAATTTTTTGTTAGCAATATACAATTTTTTAGAAATACGGGTTTTGGGCCTTGGGGGGGAGGACGTGGCCCCCCCTGGAACCGTCCCTGTGAGTGAGATAGAACCACTCGGTCTGTACTCTGTAGTAACTCAGTCACGGCTTCAATACAGCCATACAGGTACTTGTATATTTAAGCAACGGTGATAGTTTAGACTCCAAATTGATATATAATATTGGTAGGTAACTAGTTAAGAACCTTATCTGTGAAATATAGTTTCAATTTATTTTTCTGACATCACCTATACGAAAAGAGTCCTAATTGTTTCAAAATTCAATCAATTTGTAATTTTCAAATTTGAATACCGTTTTTTTTTGTAGTCCCGATATCCAAAATCTAAAAACGATATTTCACAGCCAAAGTTCCCTTTTTTTTTGTGTTGAAAACGTAGTTTCTGAGTTGTGACTGACCTCTGTTTTTTTCTATGCAAAACAGTTTTGGCTGTTTTGTACATATTTTGTAAAACGGAAACAACACATTATATATTTTGTACGACTACTTCGTGTCGTGTACTCGTGTCGTATTTCATATTATATTTAAAATACGTAGGTAATAACATGTTGGTAGCAAGTTACCAAGTTATCTACGTAATCTAAATGCAATAATAATATATTCCACCCTAAGGTATTGTGTGAACCAGGCTAAATTTAATAATAAATTCAGGCCCTCAAGGCGTTTGTCTTTTATGGTTCAAATTTTAAATTTGTGTTATCCCCTAATATAGATGAGATTTTAATCTGTGATAATATGCATTGTGATCCAGATAAACGTTATCAGACAAAAACACGTGTGTTCGACTGCATTGTGATAAAATCTGAGAACACAACTGACAACTTACAGTTTACAGCACAAGACTCTAGAATTACACGCTTCATTGTCTTTTTAAATATCAAAATTTAATAATAATTTATAAATTTATATAAATATGGGTTCCAAACGCAAGTCCACTGTAAAGAAAAACGTAAGTAATTCATAATTTCCGCTGATTTACGTTTGGCTATTGGCATTTGAACAAAACACAATTCAATGCTATATCGAATTAACTATTAACTTACTGTTATTAATACAGTTTCGGACTTGTTTCATTTTTTTTTAATTTAGGGAAAATTAAATATCTGCTTTGTTTTTAAAAAGTCATTATGAAGTTGGAACTTATAATTTAAAGTCTTACACACTTGATTAATGATTGGTTTGTTTGATGAAAACAGAAACGGTTGAAGAAATTGAAGAAAACCGTGTATGAAGAACCAGAAGAATTGAAAAGAGCTCCACATTCATTTGTTATCCACAGAGGACAAATCGGTAAAAGTCTATTGCAGTTGGTCAAAGATTTTCGAAAAGTTATGGAACCATTCACTGCTGCTTCATTGCAAGTAATTAATTAATCTAGTTATTAATTTGAGCTTCAGTACTAGTGCTTATTACTCGAGAATATGATTGATTGTTCAACTTTCTTTTCTTAAACAGGTTTACAAGAAAAACACAATTAAGGATTTTGTGGCCTTAGCTGGTCCTATGCATGTGTCACATTTATGCGTATTCACAAGCTCAGATACCGGAGTTAATTTTCGTGTGGCCAGATTACCCCAAGGTCCAACAATGACATTCAAACTTGTAAACTATGCTCTAAGCAAAGACGTTGTGTCGTCTTTACGCAAACAAATGGTGAATCCAAAATTATTTAGTCATGCCCCATTGATTGTTATGAACAATTTTACTGGCGAAGGACTACATATCAACCTAATGGCTACTATGTTTCAAAACATGTTCCCTACCATCAACGTCACCAAAGTAAGAACAATATTGATCATATTGATATGTTAAATATTAATTTCATTTTTTCTAATAAAAACCAGGTAAATTTGAACGATATTAAAAGATGTGTCTTAATGAACTACAACGCTGAAACAAAATTGATTGAATTTAGACATTATGCTATTAAAACCGTTCCAGTTGGCCTATCCAAAGGCGTAAAAAAAATTGTTCAGAGCAAAGTACCGGACCTATCCAACTTTGATGATATTGATGAATTTTTATTAAAGTAAATATTCAATACATGATCTTATATTGATATGTTTATGCACTCTATTGATGAATATCCTTAAATGTTACTTAATTTTGTAGACCAGAACTATTGTCTGATAGTGAATTCGAAGAGACTACAAGTTCTAATGTTGTTGTTCCTCAAAAATTGGTCAGTCGAGGTAACATAGTAGGTACTCAGTCTTCCATACGATTGAGTGAACTTGGTCCAAGACTCACATTGCAGGTAAAATCATAGAATAACGATAGGGTTTTGTTTTTTCTTTTAACCATAGTTATTTACAATTAATAATATTATGTCATAACTGGTGTTTAGTTGATCAAAGTCGAAGAAGGACTCATGACTGGTGATGTGATGTTCCATGAATTCATTAAAAAACCAGATGAAAAAAAAGAGGAAGCAAAAGAGGACTAACTTGACAACTCATAACTACATAACTATATAAAAATGAAATTATTTATATGTTTTTTTGTTTATAATACAATTATCAGTTTTTAATCATTGCTTTGATGTCTATTTAGTAAATATCACGATATAAATAACTATTATTTATGGTCACGCAGCTCTTAAACACATGCCGCTGACGTAAATGCGTCTCAAATACTTTGAATTTCTTGATTTAAATGTAACTTTTCACAAATAAATATTATTTCCATATTAAGCAAAACATACAGTAGGCAAAGATTCCAGATTTATCTTTTTTAAACATGGGCATTTTAAATCATACTCAATACTCATAGGTTACATACGAGGAGCGGAGGAGGTAAGTGCATAGTCTATCCAAAACTGCGAGGGATAGAACTACTCGGACTACAGTCCAAGCTAAGCAACCAAATTTTCACACTAAACATTTACTGTGGAACATTGTTTTTATTTTTTTCGATAATATCAAAAATACAAAAAAAGTTAACCAAGTTTGAAACAATGAATTTTTAAACAATAAAAACTTCTTTTATTTGTGATATTGAAAAAATTAAAAAGATGTTTCACAGTAGATGTTCTCCTCTTTATAGTATGAAAATTTGGATGCTTAGGATGGACTACTGCCTGAGTGGTTCTATCCCGTGGAAAATAGTTGTTGCTACATTGTACGCCTGTAAGACAGAGACAACACTTGTGGGTGTGGCGTCCTCTTAAAAATTTATATATATATATGTATATCTTTGCTCGTAATTGAATCACAGGAAATATATTATTTTGACTTATACAGTATTGTTAGGACCAGATTTTTAAAATGAAATTAACAGCTAGTATACAATAATATTCAGTACTAGTCCTCAAATTTAATTACAAATAGTCATAATAATAACAATACAAATAATTCCTTATAGTAATAATAAAACATAAATAGTACTTGGATAGTGTAAAACGATAATTAATAATTATCATCTTGGTTAAATAAAAATATAATTATCAATCTCGTAATAAGAAATTATTGTTGATGAAGTTGTGAATATAAACATCATAACATGTATCATTTTAAATAAAAAAATGGAGACAAATATTATAACACAATCCAAGGTCATATAACACTGTGGTTCAATATTAAAGTATTAATAGTTTTAAAAAAATAAATTAAATGTATTTTTTTAAATTTTTAACACACTATTTAACTTAAATTATCTCTGGGCGGATTTGGCTATTTGCTCTTTCAAAACTAGTATGCTTTGTCGCTGTTCTGCAGGCAGTTTTGATATTTGTTCCTCAGTTAATTGTAACACTTGCATGATTAAAGCAGCCTAAAATACATAAATTGATTTAAATATTTTGTTTTGTGTACCATGTTTTGTTAAAGCAATTAGGAATTAAAATTACCTTTTCAGTATCTGTAGAAGATCCAGGTTTGGGCAGTTGTTGCACAACCTGTGGTCGAGCAGGTTGCTGAACAGCCTGAGAAGGCATTTGTGTTGCTGTCGCTGCAGCATTATTACTGTTTGCCCTAGGATCCCTTGTGTAAGTTCGAATTTCTGGATCCATTGATACTGGAGCACGAGGGTCTCTTGACACCCTACAAACATTGCATGTCAAATACTTAAAGGTCTTATTATTATAATTTTAATATGAATTACGGTAATGATGGTGGAATAGAAGATTCGACTGGTACTGATGGCAATGGTTGAGTGATTGGCATTTGAATTGGCGGTTGTCTTAAATCTTGGTCCATTACACGGCCACGATTTACTTGTCTCAAGTCCATGTCTTCAACTTAATCAACCAAAAAGAAAATCACAAAATAATTTATTTAATATTTGTTGTAAGTAGAACTTATCAAATTGCATACCATGAGGCTGGGCCATTGAGGTAATTGAAGACTTAGGTTGTGCCCACACATTGGTATCATTATTGGGCATATTATGAGGATTGATGGTCGCTGCTGTAGTAGCAGAAGTGTTGGGTATTGGAGTGGCTGGAACTTGGTTTGAAGATTGTAACATACTCTGTCAAATAATACAATTTTAGTGCAATAAACTTAAATAATACATTTTAATTAAATAGGCAAAACTCCGGGAAAGAACCACTTAAAAGACTAATATATTTTCATGCAGCAATATTGATAAAAATCTTTAATTTTTTAATAATTACAGCAGCAACTTGAGGATCCACTATTTTCATTATTATTTGTGCTTGTAACAATGCGTATCCAAGTTGAGGATTCTGAAGCAACATGTTTCTAGCTTCCGTTGGATTATTCTATACAATATGTTTAATGAGATGAGTTTTATTGTTAAGCATTTTTTTATTTTGAATTAGGTAAAGTAATTTGTTAGTAACCTGAATGCATGCTTTCATTTGTTTCATGAGCTCATACATTTGTTCTGGGGGTAAAGATGCAACAGCAGTGCTTATGGCTTCTGGCGCTTTTTCTGCACTTACAGCTTCGCCATAATGATTTTCCGAAGTAGGCATTCCCATCATTAAAGCTGCAATACATAATTAATTTTGATATACATTTTGATACTTAAAATTTGGTAATTTATTAAGTGATTACATTGCATTTCAAGTCTAGACTTTTCTGTACAAGCGTTGTCAACACGTAGAGTACGTCCACCAATTTCATATCCGTTAAGATTTCGCATAGCACTAAGTGCAGTTTCTTGATCTTTGTACTCGCAGAATCCATAACCTTTAGGTTTACCTGTTTCTCTGTCATATACCAGCCTACAATGGTTAGGTAAAAAGTCAATAATAATAATGAACTATAAAAAGATTTTTTAATGCATTGTACTTGAATGATATGACTGGTCCTACTTCACTGAATATATCTTTCAACTTTTCTTCAGTGGCCTCATACGGAATGTTTCCCACTGAAAGGAGAAAAAAACAAAGTGCTCAAGTAAAACATGTTGCACAGAGAATTACATGAATACCAAAAACACATACCGAAAACGCTCCTCATAGATTTATCTAAAATGTTTTGGTCAGTCATTTTCAAAAAGGATAGTACAATCGAATGATCTACTGATGGATATTTTGGAAGTTAAATTACTATTTTATAGCAATACCAGTAAAATTTAAAAATTCAAAATTCGAAGTTGAAGTGCAATATTTTGCATTATACAACTAAGGAAAACATATTTTTATCAGTTCTTCGGCTTTTTTTAGATAAGAATTTGTTTACTTCAACGCATTTACAGTGTGACTATTATGAATTTTATAGAAATTTGAATACACATTCCTCATGCACTAATATGTAAACAAGTTTAGTAGATTTAAATTTTAAAATTAAGGAATTTTTTTGAATTTCAGTAGCCCAATAAATCGAAATTTATCTTTTCGTAAACACTGACCACTTGATGAAAAGTCAAAATCTCTGCGGTCCGAGGGATTTACATTTTACAAGCTTGGGAAAGACTGATTAACAACGTGATATTGTGATTTGTGACGGACGGACGTGACATGATTCAAAATCATGAATATGGTCATCGACCACAGATTAGGTGATTTACTGATTAATGATTGTACATTTGTACCTATTCTGTGTTTCGACGAACTAAGATCTCAATTCGTGGTATCGACTATCGAGGGGTAAATCTGGTACACCTGTACACTCGATTCCAGAATTCGATGGTTTCTAATATTTTAAATTACCTACCAAAACATTACTAAGAATTTTGTACACTGATTTCCATTAGTGATGTTTGAACCATATTCCATAAAATAACTACTAACTATGTTTTGAACAACAATGAACACATTTTTAAAAAATATTACACATCATGGTCAGTATATAGATAGGTCGTAGGCATAGTTTATAGGTCTATGGTCGTAGGTATCATACTATCATATTATTATGTTCATGCATTGAGTAAATAATATTGATGAATGATGATTTATGATTTTCATGATTCATGGCAAGGCGGATCCACCTTGATTCATGGCCCAACATGATTTAATTTTTAATTTTGTAGGTATATTTTACTAGCCATGGATCATAATAACATTTCACGAAGTTAACATTATTTAAATTTAGCACTTGTGAGCCCAACGAATTAAAATAGGTAATTAAACACTTAAACTCATGACGATATGACGTAATTAGTTCAGTGGTCGACGACTGGTGGAATATGGAATACCTTCGGTTTTTAAGTCATTACAAAATTACATTTTTGAATATTTTTAATAGTTTTAATTTTTAAGTTTTTACTCTTTTGAAGAAAAACATTACTACATTTTTAATTTCCTATTCCAAACCAGAATATTATTCGGAGTATTTCGATCTATAAAAATCACATTTTGGGCAAGTACCAACCTATAGTTAATTATAATTCAATATTATTATTCACCTATTTAAAGTTTAGATGCTTGGAGTAGTTGACTTACATTTTACGGGACTAATCCATGTCCCACTCCACTCCGTTTATCATCACTTTAAAACTTTAAATACTTTGATACTTTTAACGGATCACCTGGTTTAATGTATTTTTATAATTTATTGTTATTGATTATAATTATTTATTTATTGAATAATATACTTACGCTATACAATAGCGTTTAGGTTGTTCGGTATATAAGTACATGTTTTATTAGTCAAGCCATAATATCTATTATACTTGTTGCCGATTATGATTACATTTATCGATTATGACCCGGTCGAAATACACGCATCACATTATATTATAATAATTATTGTTGATCGTATAAATCGAACTGTTATATCGGTTCAATGGATTATAATTGCATCTTGTAGTACTGCAGTACACGCGCACGCTTTATGCGGTGTTGTAACTTTGCGCTTCTGTTGGATTTACGTTTGTTTATTGTGCGCACTGTCGTTTTGTTTTTTTTATATTGTATAGAAAAGAAAACCTCTAAATGGCAACATCGCCGAGTAAAAGAGTGGTCATTGTCGGTGCGGGCATTGTCGGTGTGAATTCGGCGCTGGAAGTTCAGAGAAGATATCCGAATTACGAGGTGACCCTGATAGCGGACAAGTTCAACGGAGACACTCTCAGTGACGGCGCCGCCGGATTGTTGCGGCCGGACACTTACGTTTTCGGCCCCAGTCTAGAAATCTCTCAGTGAGTATACCCCCGACCCCCGTGGCTCCATACCTTATCATGGTATAATTATATTACCTATCTATTATATGAAATAAAAAAAACCCGCTATCCGATGTTCCTTATGCAAATCCACAGTTGTTGACCAATTTATGCAAATATGTTTACACACATACGTATTCATTGGGCTCTTGGACTTGGACTCGTATAGTCTACTTTTTATCCTGAAATTTTACTCTTAAATGCTGGCTTACAAATTAATTTTGTTTCGGCTCAAGAAAATCGAATATCTCTCTCGGCACGGGCATGCTCAATACAACTTGCATTATTTTAAATGATAACCGGTATTTTCGATACCAAATTCAGATAGATTACATTTTTTAAAGTCATTTTGACCTATTAACCATGGCTATAAAACCAAAATGGTCTGAACAAGAGCTATTTAAATTTTAATAAACTATACATTTTTACGATTCATTAAAATGTATAAAACCATTTATAATTATTAATTATTGACACACACACACACACACACACACACACACACACACACACACACACACACACACACACACACACACACACACAAAACACGCATTGTACAATCAATACATTAATCAACCACCGCTCTGCTCGGAATCTAAAAATTAACACTTGTGAGTTGCGATGACGATTAAGAAATCCAAGGACTTTCTTTAAAAATAGCGCGGGGATTTATTTGGAAAAATCTTGATTTCCTCACAGTAAATTATATGGCACGTCCTGTTCTAGAGTAGAAAAAATGTTTACGTAAATTCTATTAATAATGAGACAAATCACAACAAATTTTATTCATCTCACAGCTTTGAAAAATTGACTGTTGCAATTACATACGATCTTATTTTATTAATATGTATTGATTTTTATCTTATGTACTTATCACACATGTAAGTATTTAAATTGTATATACGTTGTAATTTTTAAATGTACATTATTATATTATGTGATATTGCATGAAAAGTGCACAGATAAATTTGATACAATATGATATTTAAATTTGTCTGTGATATGTTTTAAGTATTTTTAAATTGTTATATCGTTATATCTTATACACTCATAACTATTGCATACATATTGAAGAACAGCTAACGTATAAGTACATATAATGTTAAGGTTTGATTTCACTTTAATACTATAGCTTAAAATACAAGGTTGGTTCTGCCTTCTGCTGAACGATAATTTACCATGTTGAGCAGAAGTCAGATAGAGAAAACAAATAGCGCTATGAAATCATCTTATAAGTGTTGGATGATAAGTCAGTGTTAACTATTTACTATTATTTTTATTTTTAGTTTTAATTTCTACTTATGTCAAAGTTCTTCCATTGGGATGATTTTTTATTCCGTGAAACTGTTTTTTCTCATACATCACATTTACTTATTGTTGTGACATAATATACGTACCTCCTATGTAAAAGACTGCGTAATTTGAATATAAAATAATATAATATATTATAGTATAATTTGAGATTATAAAATAACTAATTTTAATTTCACTAGAAATTATCTATATCCTTAATAATTTATATTTATTTTATTGGGATTTTTGCAGTTACATTTAATATTTATTGAAGACTTTATATTTTTATACAAGAGGTCACTCATAAGTTATAATATTATATACCTATAAATTGGTAATAACCTAATAGTTTAGTTTTTAGGTGTAAAGACAGCAGTGTTTTTTTTATTTTAATATTTATTTAAGTTTAAATTGTTTTTTAATTATTTTATAAATGTGATTGAAATAGTTCTTATAATGTATTCGACTAATTTGCATTGTTTTTATAGGCAATGGGTAAACGATTCTTATAGTTTCTATAAAAATCTATTAAAAAGTGGGGAACCCTGTGGCATAAATGAAGTTTCTGGTTACATATTTTCGACTAAGAATCCGAATATTACAAAAGTAAGTACCTAGTACCTACTGAATAATGATGCATTATCATATTCCAATCAAAATTATTTAAGACCTATTAATTCGTCTATACTTATAGTATAAAGACAGAGTTTGAAAGTTCATATATACTTATATATTCAATATGTATTTACCTATTATGTATGTATTAATGTTAGAACCATTACATGAACAATTGTTCACCTGACTTCAGAGAAGCTACAGATGAGGAATTAAAAGCGTATTCGTCTGCTGAGAATCAACTTAAAATAAACTATGGTAGCTTCTTCACGTCGATAGTCATTGAATGTAAACTATTCTTACCGTGGGCTTTAAAAAAGTATGTATTTACTAAAATATATGAATATTATAATTATTTACTATCTAAAAACTTAAAGCATGTTATTCATAAAGTTTAATATAAAATTGAGTTTCAAAAATTACAATTTTTATTTGTTTATTACTAATGATTATTCAAATATGAAATTGCTATATTTTTTTTATAGAATAAGTGATAATGGTGGAACTATTATTAACCGAAAAATCGAATCTCTCGAAGAACTATGTGGAGAATATGATATTATTTTTAACTGCACTGGGTTCAGAGCCGGAAAATTATGTAATGATGTGAATGTGTTGCCTATTCGTGGACAAGTTATTCGGGTAAAATATTTTTATTACAATTTTACAATATTTAAAGTTTATATTCATAATAGCTTATTATAACATTCTCGAATTACATTTAAATATTTTTCTGAATAGCAGATTTATAATTGTAACTTTATCTATAGTTATAAAAATAATATTTTTCCATTAATCTTTTTTATCTTTATTCTACACTTTATTCGATAAAATATTTTACTTTAAATGTAGTATGATACTCTATCATAAAATCGAATAAAAAGTATTTCAACATTTAAACTTTTTATCATTATGTTGTAGGTCAAAGCTCCTTGGGTTGACAAATTTTACTATCTTGATTCCGACACATATATAATTCCGTCAATAAGCGACGGGACTGTTGTACTAGGTGGGTGTAGACATTTTGGCAGCCATAACGAGCAGGTGAATGAACGCAACACAGAAGAAATACTGGAAAATTGTATCAGTTTATTGCCATCATTAAAAGAAGCGTTAAAAACGGACTACAAAGTTTGGGTTGGCCTTAGACCTTACCGGAACAAAATTCGTGTAGAAACTGAGCATATAAAACATGATACCGTGGTAAGCTCTCAAATTAAAAATATATAGTGTTATCTTATGAAATCGATCATTTTTAACTTGAGACGAACCATCTTAATATATTAGAGTTAAGTTAGGATGTATATATAATCATACCGAATCACTTATATAGTTCGTCTACATTTGTTTAGATTGTACACAATTATGGGCACGGTGGATATGGAGTAACATTAGCTCCCGGAACAGTGAAATATGCAGTTGACTTATTGACTTCAGTTAACAAATGATTTAACAACATAATGCTATTACCTATGTATTTGGTTATAGTAGATTACTAGTATTATATAGTAGTTACTTACCTAATATTATTTTAATGGTCAATAATCGGAATGTAATTGTTTGGATTAGTTTAAAGGTCCGATTTAATTACGGTTGTATTCTTTGCGTAATTAATCAAAACATAATTCATTGATTATTTAAAAAATCTAATATTCTTCATTTATGTTTATTTTATAGTCGTTAATTATTAAATATTCAATACTTGATATTCGTAACTAATAGTAAATACTATTTATTATTTAATAAGGACTCTTGGACGTTAGAAAAAAAAATATGCAACAAATATCCATCGAAATTAATGACCAAATTTTCAATCTAATCTTTACTGTTTTTATTGAAAGTGATAATTAATTTTTTTACATGTTACATCGTCTCCAAACAACATTACTAAAAGTAATAACGAGACTTACAGTGTACTAATGAGTGTTTCATATCATTTATTTTATTTGTTACGGGCATCACTGTCATCTGTATCGACACCATGGTAACAAACAATTGCTTGACGATTGCAATTATTTTTTTTTAAAAGATTATGTAAGTAGACATCGTATGTGTTTAGGGAAAATCAATACGCCCAAATTCAATTCAAAATAATGCCTATCATCGTGAAAGACTTTTCTTGGTGGCAAACTGAGTGTAAATTGTTTTTACAAATTAAAATTCCTCACATTTCTCAGAAAAATGCTGATATTCTTACATCTAATAAATATTTAAAAGTAAGTGCAACTACAGTATTTATATGGTAGGCACTAGATAAAATTGATGGCAATTGACACATCGTGTTAGCATCTTAGTGTAGTTAGTTTATATAATATATAAATTATACAGTATGTAACAGAAATAGGTGGAAAATATAATTAACTATGCAACAACTTGTTTAAATCAATATTACATTCAAAACAATAAAATGATCCTAATAACATGTCTTAAAAAATTGATAAGAATTAAAGTTATCACATATTCAATTAATTATATCTGTTGGTTATTTCTATAATACATTCTGTATTTTTTTATTTACAGAGTATACAGGACGTTTGTATTAATAGCAAACATTTATTATATACATCCTTACCACACATACACTTATTCCAAACTAACCTTACCCTCCCACACATAAATAGTCATATAGTAGTTAATAACTTTACAGATGATGTCTTAAAAATAAATTACATATGGAATTATGATTTATTGCGTTTTATTGAAATACGTTTAAAAACCGAGAATTTAGCACTCTCGGAGAACAATTTTTCCTCACTTGTCCTTTGTTAAAATTTAAAAATGTGCATACTAAAGTATATTTTGATGTTCATTGTTGATTTTTGAATATTTTTCTTATTTTTAAGAAATATTTGTAGGTATTTTAGAGCTTGTTAGCATTGTATTTCAACCATAAAATCCAGACGCTGGTTATAATATGGGTACATATTTGAAGTTTAGAGCTGACCAACATCTGGCAGGGTACCTGAGTACTTGTGTGTAACTCCACTTCACCACATACAAACATTAAATACTTTAAATAAGATAAATACATCTCTAACTAGTTCACTACTCGTTCGAAATTCGATTATTATAAATATAAATTCTAGAAAAAAATATTAAAATTATACAACTGGACTTTTCTTATAAATAATTAAGATTAAATACTCTTTTAAAATTCAATTTTTATACATTTGAATAAAAGAAAAACAATCATTCTATGATATATGAAGGCGAAAACGTATGCTGTCATTCAAAATCTTAGGAAGTCATAGGTAATGATAAAAAATGTTGAAAATGTTTCGTAATAATTTCAAATAATGTAAAAAATAAAAACAAATTGAAAATGTTAATACTTTATAAGATCAAAATTGTTTACAATTAAAGTAATAGGTAAGTACTTAGGTAAGATGAACCCATGCAGTATATTATCTCATGATTATTTATATTGTTATGCATGTAGATTAGCTGTTTACCGCATATTTTTGAAGCGATTCTTTGGGATGAAATAAATGACGAATGTAGTAAGTGTACGTTTGATGATGGATGTGTTTTATTTGAGTTACAAAAAAAAAACTGTGTGCATTGGGAATGTTTGACACTAAAAAAATCGAAAGACGAGTTAAAAAAGTTGAAATGTGAAATTTTGAACAACATTATCGAAGAACGCCAGAATAAATCTCAGCAAAAAGCTGGTATGTATATGTCTTGTAAAATTAATTATAATATATATTTGGTAGACGTTACGTTTACAACTTTACTTTGAAAGTTTGAATATTATAAAAGTTTATTTTAGTATTTTTGCTATTCAATATTGTACATAGCAGATATATTATGATGACATAGGTAAGTCAATTGACCTGTGGCCGACGCCGAATATATTGTTAGGTTCTGTTTAGGTACCTATCATAAAAAATAATGATGAATTAAAATTAAAACTTCTATTTTCACGAACTCAAACGTGAATTCAAACTTCATTTTTTTCTTGAACTATTTGTTATCAAACTCGAAATCAAATCCATATTTTACATACTTGTTATATTTTCAAACTTTTCAAACATTTTGAACTTGCGAATTAATAAGCAAAACCCTGTCTTAATTGATATGAGGAATACGGGAATTACGTGAGATCAAAATAGTATTATAGGGTACAGCTATTTATATTTTATGAAATACACGAGTAAATTATATTTAAGAATAACAGTATTGATATCGAACTTGATTTTTCTCAAACTGTTAAAAATTTTCGAGTTTGATGTATTCGATTTAGAATATTAATTTATAATTTCCAATGAACTTTGGAGTGTTTAAATTTCTTGATGTTCGGAGTGTTCGAGAATCTATCTTTAATAAAAATTTAGAAAATCACAAAATTCGATTATAACAAAAAATAATGGGATAAATCAAAAATGCTCATTATTTATTTTAATAATAATTAGTTATAAATTATCTTTGAAAATTTATTACTTGTTAGTTATTAGTTTATTACCTATACGATATATCTATATGTAGGGAATAATAATTCAGTAAGTACAATAAGCATTAGTTAAAATGTTAATAATATATATACATCTATTGGCTATTATTATTATTATTATTATTAAATCTATTCTTTTATTCAATATTCATTAAATTACTGAACCGTTTCTTGACATTAAAAATAATTACTTATTTCATTTATACTTTATAATTCATATTGCCCTTATAATCATAATCTGTGTTTATTGTAAAACAAAAAGCTATTTGATGTCTTTAAGGTTTTTTCTTTTTGATGTATTAGTTGTAAAAACAGAACGAGACCGATTAGCTGTCAAGGAACAAATTGATTTCGAAAACAAAGAACACCAAATTATTCAAAGTATTCGTGACGAAGAGAAAAAAAAAGTTTTGAAAGAGTTGAGCACGTGGAAGTCAAAAACAGAAATTTCATGCGATAGAAGTATGAAAATGATGTTTATGATAATTAATAAAAATTTTATGGTAATTATATAGTAGGTTGTATATTGTGGAGGTGGGCAAACTTTCTTTGGTGAAGATCTACTGGTATATTTTTTCTCTGAGGAGCCATTAAAATACAGACAACTGTATAGTGGCCGACTACGATCACTATAGTTTAAAAGGGGGGGGGGGGAGTCGACTTTTAAATCGTTTGCCATCGACTGCATTACTATAACATTTTAGCTGGACTCGGTATACTATATAATATGTTGTATAATTAAATGTGCATGCAAATTATGACGAGAATATGAGATGAACTATACTGTAATGAGACCGTAATTTATTTTTGGGTGGAGGCTACGACCTCATTTGGCTGGGCCACCGGATATATGGGTACTTTTTATATGTTAAAAATGGGTGTATTTAATTTGAAATATAACTATAAACTAAATATATTTTAAGTAATGTATTGGTCGTTTCAAAATATTTACAATGAAAAAAAGGAGGAAATAAATCTGAATACGATTCTATACAGGGATAGAACACACTAGTTAAGATTGCTTAATATTTATATTTAACGTACTTTTAACATAATAACATACATGTTGTGTGTGTATGTTTTGTAGGAATAAATGAGAAAAATAATAAAAACATTTTTTCAACGGATCAACCGATTAAGATCTACGAGATAGAAAACATACCCACTGAAGATATAGAACAGTTGCCAAATCCTAGAACTTTTAAAGCAATTGAGATTAATTTCACACCGAGACACTTTACCACTCCGAGCAGAGAATCGACAAAAGCTGATGAGCAAGAGGTAAAACTTTATGTTAGACGTATCACATATAGTAATTATGTTGTTGTATTATAACGATTATAATGTACGACCAATGTGAAATTATACAATTGGTTATATGTACATTGTCGTAGTGGTTACAAAAGCAGACAGCCGCTAGAAGAGCTGCAGGGTTTGTGGAAGAAGACTTGAGACCAGAAGAACATGACCCGGAATGGTGTTTGCAAAAAGGAAAGTCAGTAACTTATTAAACTTATTATTTGTGGCGTTTAAAATTGCTCAGAAAGTTGTTTAGACAGAGAATGACTCATTAAAAATATTCTTTTAGTTTTTTAATTAAAAAAAAAAAGTAACTTTTTATTTAGCGATTCTTAATACATACTTTTTTCCTCTTGTTGACAAAATGTGAATGAGTGGTACCGATAAGTCATTATTATATTTAACTAAATAGTATTATCACTTATTAGTTACTAGTAAAACTAGTCATTATAATATTCGGTACCACTAAAATATTAAATTGTCTAAGTTCATTAATATTTTATAATATATGTATCAATATTAATTGATTTGAGATTTCTAATAGTTTGTTCATACATTTTTTTAACAGCACATTTATGACAGAACTAAATTACATTGGAGCTGTAAGCGCTTATTCGCATGGTATAAAGTTGAGTCCAAAAATGGCTATATTGTATTTGAACAGATCTAAAGCGCATATTCAAATAAAAAACTATCACAAAGCTGTCGAAGATGCAACAACCGTATGTAAATATATACATTTAATTTTAAATAAGATATTTAGATCACGTAATATAATGTTTATAATATTATCTATAATAACATAATATAATACGATCGAACTTGTCTTAACTGACTGGCTTACTGATCAACGTAGAGCTTAAATTATGATTGCTAGGGACTTGAAATTTTCATAGTACCTTCATACCATCATGCAAAGATGCATTAAGAAATAATTTTCTAAAATACGGATTTTAAAGAGGTGCCCAAATTAGGATTTTGAGATTCACCATGGATATTTAAAATTTTTGTTTTACTTATAAATTATGGTTGTCAGTGGTTGCAGATTATAATAGAAATAGTACTATACTTTAAAACAAAATTATGTACTTAAAAATGTACAAGAGAAAAGAATTTGAGAAAAATAAGTTTGTGTCACCACAAACACGATCTCTCGGGACACTATTATTAAATATTAAATGGTAAAAAATGGCCTCAAAGCAGGTATTTGAAAACACGTCATATGGTCTTTAAGTATAGGTGCCTACTTAAAAATGTCCAAAACCAGAATTTGAATGAATGCATTATTAAAGGATAAAATTATCCTTATAATAACCTTGTAGTACAGAAATACAATTTACACACATGCGCAGGCGTTGGACTTGATGGTGCCGGCGGTCGATGGAAACGTGGATTGGCGAGCCGAGGCGTATTACAATCGAGGCAGAGCGTTGGTGGAGCTAAATACCGCACACTTGGCCGTTGATGAGCTCAGGTTGGCTTTGAAATTGGCGCCAGACCGGGCCAACGTCTACGGACCGGAGTTGCAGAGGGCCATGGACTTGGCTCCGGCGCACGAGCAGCAGCTGAACAAGAGTCGAGAATTGGACCTAAGTAACGCGCCGACCGTTTGGTGTAAATGATAATTTATTTTTATTTTTATTGTTATTATGAATATTATTACTGTTATTATTTCACTTCATTTTCGGTCAATAGCTCAATAATAAATGTATAAGATAACTAAAGAATAATAAATATTTCAAGTATATTACAAGACCGATTTGATATAAGTATCTATAATTAAATAATTGGATTGATTAATGACAGGAGAGTGTTCAAGGCATACAATCTCAGCTGATACTGTGATTTCGGCACAAAATTTTCGAAACCCGGTGAACATTGTAATTTGTAGTAACATTCAACTGAAGCGTGACTGTGGTACAAATATCTGTTATATTATATACTGTAGGACTAACGAAAGGGTTGCCGAAATATTTTCCGTCCGTTAAATTTCCTCGGTATATCATGGTTAGTGAACGACACCATGGTTGCAGCATTCAATCAGAAATCAGAATACGATAAATGGCACACGACACGATAAACGAGGTATGAATCCGGCTATATTCTTAGCCCTCAAGAATATGGTCGTTGTCACTTGTCATTTTCCTTAAGTTTTCTCGTCGCCGTTCGGAGTTCTCCATTACATCGTATATGTATATAGTTAATTTTATAATCATTCTTATAAAGCTATATCTTTATTACAAACTTTGCTATAGGAAATAGATAAATTGTTGATGAATATTTTGTAGTTTTATTATCCTATGAATTCTATTTAAATTTAGATTCAAGATTGAATAAAATGTTCAAGTAGAAAACTTACTAGCTTGGATTCAATCCCGAGCATCTATAGAATATAAACTGTATAGCTGTGCGCCAAGTTTTTTTTTATTTGAGATTGTTGGCAAATGATATTTTTGCTTTCGTGAAATATTGAATTGTTTTAATCTTACACATATCATATTGAATAAACAAGTGTTTTGAAAGCAACTAATTTTATTTTATACAAAATAATATGAAAAAATTGTATTTATTAATATATAACTTCACTGTACAATTTCCTCAGATAAGATGAAGTTGTTTGACGAGTGATTACCTACTTATTATTTTCGTACTCAATTATTTGAATTAAAATCATGTTATAGGAAACAACATTTTTCAAATATATACATTATATGGTCAATATTAATGTATAAGTGTTATTTATATTTTATTATTTTTAGTTTCAAATAATTTCGAAATTCTTTGAAAATGTTACTGTTTCTACCTACAATTTTTATGTTTTCGAATGATTTTGTACTGAAACTATGAAATAATTTAAGGTAATTAAAGTTTTGGTCAACGTGAAAGTGGCCAGTGGAAGACTTGATATTTGATGTACGCACAGATATATACAATAGCTATTGTATATATCTGTGGATGTACGTTAAAATGTATGACATAAATATTTTGATTTGTATTTGTGTATGACTGTTAAGTGTATCAATTTACATTTTACATACTATTAATTTTTTTTTTTTTTTGGTACGATGGTAATACTAGTTAGTGTACCAACTGTAATCAGCTCATTTTACGTTGCGTCTCACACAACTAATTTACTTATAGGTTATAACCACAGATATATGGAACAAACTTTATTCCATATACCTGTGCTTATAACTTAAAGGTATGGTTTGAGTTTAAAATTTAAATAAAATATTTAAGCACTAAAGAATTGTTAGCTATATTATTATTATGGTGGTGACACTGTTCTTCGGCCAACCGGATCGGGCACCGGTCTCTGCCGCCGGACTTTTTTGTTTTTCTGTTACCGTTAAACGCGACGAATAAAATCTCGGCCGCGAAAAATGCTATAGCTCTCTCGTAAGCCGCAGAAGTTAAGTTTTTGTATGAAGCCTCTATTTACTTAATAATATTTTTTATTATTTAAGACGTTGTCCCGTGGCTCCTATCCTAACGAACGTTTCTTACAGAATATATATGTTTAATAATAATTCTGTAACAGTGTAAAACGGTTCAATGACATTAGCCTACAGGTAAAAATGCAGTACAATAAGGCATACAGGAACTCTTTCATACCTTTACGAAGCCATGCGTAAATACTAAATTGTAATATCACGTTTTGCGGATATCATTTAATGATTGAATGAATGAAGGTAAGAAAATAAAATAAAACCACCAGCTATAATTTCAAATACAAAAATATATTTTTATTGGATCCATACAAACTTTTATAATAATAATAATTTAAATGGAACAATAATATTATTAGAAACTTATTTCTATAATAATATGCATAGGTACAACATTCACTTTATCTATATGTTAAGAGCACAAGTTATATATTATTTACAAGTATTGGATGTATGTTTTGTATATTATATATATTTTTTACACAATACAATATAATATTATTATGTTAAAATTAATATTTAAGGTTTTTAACACTATTGGTACATAATTAGAGTAAAGACAGATACATAATTACCTATCTATATTCTACCACTGTGGCACAATACTTACATAGTTTTAAGTGGTGAAATAATAATATAATATAGAAATATCAAAATGGTAACATATTATTATAGTAGCACTCATGAGTATAATATACTTGACCATAGAAAACATACGATAAATACTTAGTTATGTTTTTGAATGAAATGAAATGAAATGAATTTGTGTTTTATTTTATCTATCGAGAATTTCAGATTCCTCCGTTTAAGTCCTAAAAACAACCCTATCAGTCTTTTCGACCTTGTCGAGTATACGAATGTATGTCGTTTGAAACAAACTACAAATACAATATACAATACAATATCACGCAATACGCACTTACGGCGTGCATATTATACAGGAATCTTTCTACATACAATCAATAAATATTAATAGAGTAAAATATCTAACATGGGTTCAAAAAAAAATCAAATTTCTTTGTCCACCACGATACAATTCCAAAAAAATATAGTAAGTATACTAATATACATTTAAAATAAATAATTTAAAAAATAAAAATAATTATCCACTCGGATTCATCTTTCATTCTAGTATTTGTTGGTGATTTGTCTGATCCAGTCCAAGTAGTGAGCCACCTTGACATAGACGCCGGGCACGCCGGGTTGACCGCATCCCACACCCCAGCTGACGATTCCGACCAAATACCACGAACCAGCGCGCTCGCAGACCAATGGACCACCGCCGTCACCCTGTAAACGTGTAAAAAAATATCGTCGTTGATGAGATGAATTCAAGTAACTGAAAACTAGTCTTTGAAAGGTACTAGCTAAATCAACGACTAGTGTAGGAGTCACCAAAATGGTGAATCGAGAACTGCTTGAATATAATTTTAACAATGATTGAATTCAGGGATTTTATACTTACAAGACATGTTAAGCAAAAATAAGTTCATTTAGGAAATATCTATATATATCGATAAAATGTTTCAAAGTTCACGTGAAATATTCTAAAGGCTCGTTGACGTGTCCGACATCATGCCTCATAAGTCATAACCGATAGGGCTTTACCTATTTTTGCCCATCTTATAATTTATACATTTCGAAATGGTTTTTATAGAAAATCTCATGGAGGATCCATACACATTGGTATTTGATATACCTACAGAGTGTTAGTGTTTTAACAAACATGTTTGCCCCCATTTATTCTTTAAATTATTAATTTCTTCAAATTAAGGCTGATAACCATATTATGTTATATTATTATTCTATGTAATATTGTAGGTACTAATGTGTACTTAATATGTATTATAAGATGTTTTTCTATCGACGTACCTTGCACGCGTCTTTTCCTTCTTCGCCGCCTGCGCATAAGAAACCGTTGTGCAACTTGAAGTCGTATCCAAGACGGGTCTGCTGCAATTGCGTTTCGCACTGGCGGTTAGAAATCACTGGAACGTCCACTTCCTGTGCACAAAAAAAAACCAAAAAATTAGTTCACCGGTGCTATAGTTATTAATTCCACTTTGACTTAATTGCCAAACACGCTCATGATTATCGGTGCTGTTATTTACGTACAAAAACGAATCACCATTTTATTTTTTTAATAAATCATAAAGATAATTTTTTGCAAAAATCATTGTTTTTCTCTTTAATATTACAATCATAATGTTTATTACTAAATGTTATGGTATTTTCTAAATTATTGTATTAAAGAACTGAAAATCCTGTTTTCTAAGTCAATCGGGGGGTATTTATTGTAGCTAGTCATAAGGATTTCCTTCGTTTTTTTTCAATTAATATTGTATATATATTAATAATATTGTTCATACAAATTTCTTCCCGATAAGACGTTATTAAAAAACGAATTAATTCGCACCAATAGACTAACATCGAGATTATAATTTCTATTTTTTCAACAATTTACAAGACTCACCTTGAGGATGTTCTGGTATTTTCCGTAATCTCCAAATGCGTCCTTGCCCCAGCCGGTCGTCCAGCACCGTTGTCCAGTGAAGTCAGAGAACGCGTCCGGCAAGCAGGCTGGGCTAATGTGTGGGTTCCGGGAAAAGTCAACGGGCTTGTCCATTCGGAGTATGGCCAAGTCGTTGTACAACGTGCCAGCGTAGAACTCACGGTGGATGACCATACTGACCACGTCCGTTTCTACGTACGGGTAGAATTCCACGTCGTGGTTTACGTCCCATTCGCCCAGGCGGACACGCAAGTCTTGTTCTTGGTAACTGTGTGTACGAAAAAATGGACAAAAATCAATGATTGAAACTCGTGTTTGGATACCGGGTTGAGAGAACAAATATAATTCAACGTTTTTGAAACTCACGTCTTGACGCAGTGGGCGGCAGTGAGCACGTGCAACGAATCGATCAGGGTACCGCCGCAGACGTATACACTCTCCTGAGGGTCTTTCTTGAGAATGGCTACTTGCCATGGGTATTCACCTGCACACAAAGACAACGTCCGGTGAGTTCAAATAATGTAATTATGTCATTATATAATAATAATATACACTTGGTATGGTTGGGTCGACACATACAAATATCGGTTGAAGCATAGTTATAAAGTAGGTAGTTATATTTAATATCACTCACCAAACTCGCTGTCTCCGTCCACGTACGCAGGCGTCTTGATCCTTCCGGTGATTCCGTGAGTGTTCCTCTTACCGCATTGTCCGGTGCTGACGTAGTTGGAAGACGAACCCGAGTGGATGGGTGCGGGTGGTCGTCTGCAGCAAACTTGTCTGGGTCCGCAACGGCCACTAGCCGAATACGATGACTGACGCTATACACACACACATTGACCGGTTAAGTCTACGAGTATACGTTTCGCGCCGTGTCAATTACGACAAGGATATAATAATATGAATGTTATTGTTATTTGAATATGCGTTATGATTAGACAATTTTCGCATGTCCAAAACGGTTAATAAAGTGATGTTTGTAATGTGTTTAGTGTGATTCGGGTCAAATGAAAGGCATTGGACCAAGTAGCATAACGAGTTAAGCGACTGTAATAAAATAAGTACATGTTTATAGTACCTATTTTTGCTTAAAAATATAATATTATGTTCTGATCAAAAATATGGTATGGCTCCTATATCAAATTACTCGCATTCGAGCGTTTATTGTTTCGTTTTGTTAATGATTAATGACCTCTTGATGATATTATTAGTATAAGTTTAGTTTGATCCGATGTTATTGCAGTGGAAATATTGTTTAATGCCCCTCATGAAGCGTGTAAATATTTTGCGTGAACATATTTTATATATTTAGATTTTTGTGTTATTGTACGATCGTTTGCGACGACGAATCGAAATCGGGTGCAATTTGTTGTTCCAAACATCTGTTGTACTTAGCGGTTAGTGTTATATATAGCTGGGTGGTAGAGCCAAGTCAAATAGAATATGGGAATTGGGGATGAGACATTATTTTATATATTAGTCCAACTTCTAGGGGCGTATGCAAATTTTTTTTAGAAACTGTGTGGTTCCACAACATTTTTAAATTCGTAATTTATATTTGCATTACGGTGAATTAAAATAGGGGCTCTCAAAGACTTTCTTTTCATGTTTACGAAAACAAATCTGCAGGCACGATCCCGAACCTTTGGTAAGCGTACCATAATAGATACCAACACGTTGACTCCATTTGACTTTGTTCCGTTCACCGAGACGATTGGAACATCTATTTCGTGCCACCGCGTGTTAGTGTTGGGCCGAAAGTAGAAACCCGACAATGTTACGTTTTAACTATCTCACCTCTTCCACATCTCTTTTGCTTCGTTGGCTGCCACCTACGAACTTAATGGACCCCGTGGACTGACGGTCGTTGGGGAAAGCTACTTTTGGACTACCCGCGGCGCCGAACGACGACGGTTCGTCATGGCTATTGTAACCACCGTTGTTACTACCACTGTTACCACTACCAGTTACGTTGGAACTCCTATAGTATGAATCTGAATCGAAATCGTCGGGCTGTTGGCCGTAATAATCACCGGCCGCTGATGCACCGTAATTGCTGTGGTCATCGTATTCCTCCTCTCTGTACGAGTGGTATTCGGGTGCATAACCGCCGTTGCTATAACCGCCGTTATAGCCGCCACTCCCGTAACCACCCCCATTTCCGTAACCACTGCCATATTCGCCTCCTCCGTATCCACCACCGAACGATGGCTTGGAGTAGTAGAATGGTTTTGATGGGCCGTAATACGAAGGGCCGCCGTGATGGTACGGAGGTAGTGAAGGTGGAGGCGGCACATGGTAATGGTTATGCTGGTGAAGGTATGAAGGGGGGTACTCGTGCCCATAACCCCCGCCGTAGTGCGGTGACTTGAGCTTGTGTACGATATCGCCGACCTTGTGCACCAAGCCTGCGTTGGGTGTCACGTGTAAGTTCACCCAGGGCTTGACTATTTTCTCGCCGTACTCGTCTTTGCTTACTTGCAACGACAATAGTGGGTTTACGCTGACCAAGCCCAAGTTAAGACCATTACCACCCCCAAGGGAATTGCCGTACGGGTTCACTGAGGGATTGGGACCATAGGGGCTAATTGGGTAGCCGCCACCGCCGCCGGAGGGTAGTCCAAAAGATACTCCAAACGTGGGTCGGACTTTGACGCCGGAACTTCCGGTGTCGTCAGAAGAGTCCTCGTTTACGGCTCCGCCGCCTCCTCCTGAACTGCCCCCGAGAAGACCCCCGAATTTTCGCTGTAAACACATATACACACCACCCGATCAAACCTATTCTGCTGCCCTACTGTTGTCAGATATTATCGTATAGATGGGATATCTTCGTTTCGATGTATCGTTTTTCAAGTGAGCACATAATAGCAAAATATTCATGTATTATCTTCTTTAAACTTTCTTTGTTGAGTTAAGATGAATGAGTATAAGTTTTCATGGGCTATGACAAATGTTAGTCAATGTACAATATATGGAAATTGTTATATTTATATTTCAATCAAAGTTTTTATTGTTATTGTTTAAGAACTAACTTCATTCGTGTTATTCGAAAAGTACATTTACTATGACGCCTATGTCAATACGTAATATGAATAACTTTTTTAATCATATTCACACTACTCAAAGTGATAATTTGCGTTCGTTGACCGTTTGTGTTGAGTGAAATTTAGTGAAATAAAATGTAAATACAAAATAGAATGTAACGCATATATTGTATATTACGTAATTCAATATTAACATAACAAACGTATAGAATTAGAAGACGAATGTGGTTTTTCTCACGGCCATTATCATGTGTTACACATTTGTCTTTGTCAATACAATTTTTAATTTTCTCATTTCGAAATATGCAATGAAAAATGCAAAAACGAGTAACGACAAGTTTACGAACAGTATTATTGAATACTAGTGCAAACTGTACATAGACGTGACACGTGCGATATTATCTGTTTGGATGACTATTGAAATATTATCTATTCAAAAAACTGTCAAGTTACTTAGTTGCCGTTTGCATGTTGTTATACAGTCTTAGAATGTAGAAAATTTCTTAAAATATGACCAATTTAAATAAACCTTTATAACAATATATAAATATATATTTTTTGTGGGTTGGGGATTGTGATAGCGCTGTATGTATTTAGATCAGACGGGAAAAAATAGTTTTCATATTCTTCATAATATTATACACTTCGGCGTTTCGCAACGCTTCCGAACGGAAGTAATATTTTTTTTGGCGTTTTCTTTTCTTTTTTCTGAGTCTACGGTTTATGATCGTTATTGTTTGTGTTTATATTATATTATATACAAATATAGTTAGGTATGCGTAGTTAGCAATTTTCAACTCGTTCCTTATTTTTTTTTTAAGTAGGTAAGTGTAAACCCGTTAGTTAAACATGTAACGTATTGAGTGAGTGTATATTGTGATCAGTGTGTCAAGCGTGAATAGTTTTTTTGGCTTAATGGCTATTGGAAATTTGAGTTACGTTAATTTACAACTGTGATAAATGATAATTCATTATTATACGATATTTCATCACTAATAATTATTATGTTAATCATAAGATTTTAATTGTCACCGTTGACAATAATACCTACGTATAGCGAATTTTGTTTTCATGTTTAATGCATGTCAAGGATTCATGTCAAAAAAAAAAAACAGTCCGAGACAAAAGCATACGAATGCATCGTATAGGAACATGACCCAAACCTCCAATGGCCACGTCTCGAAAAGTATTGCAAACATTAGGTAGAATGTGCTACTTGGTGTTGAGTATAAGTGAGTATGTGTGTGTATGTTAGTTTTTGGCGCGCATGAATCTAATTGCACTTACGCCATCGGTGCGGTCGTCGTCGTATGGAATCTCCACGTTATATCCGTTGCTGATTAAGTCGTCCACAGAAGTAGGTCTTTCGAGGTATCGCTAAAAAGTTCAGTTTCAAACGTTATATGGGTCATAGCGACATCGCATGTAGTATACCGTACATTCAAAAGTGTCGTGCAGTATTATATGTACTATAATATGACAATTGCATATTATAATATTGCGTATACGATAAAGTCGGATCGAGTAATGTAGTATTTCGTCGTGCGTCGTATAATATATTATGTAAATCGTAAGATATATAGTGGAATATTATCCGCAGATTGTCTATAAACGTCAAATTATTTCGTGTTTTGGGGGTACATTTTCGTTTGAGAGTGTAGGGTTGGGCACTTACCGGTTCAGCGTCTTGTTTGCTCTGTGGGGCGTCCCTGCGCCGGCGCGCCTTGGCGTTCTTGTCGGTGGCCACATCCGCTGTCGGTTTGTGGTGCGAAACAATGGTACCGTTGCCGTCAGTGACTACCACCTCGTCCAGCCCGATGGCCTCAATGTCGGTCTTGCCTTGTTGGTGTAGGTTCCTGGGGTCGATGCCCGCGATGCCGTCCTCCTTGCGGGCCACTTCATGCGGCAAACATTGGTCGTACGGCACGCAATAACACCCGTAGTTGTCAGCCCTCGGAGTCTCGTAGGACGGATACCGGTCGCCGGCGTAAGGTCCGGTCAGCGAATCTGCACAAGCGAAATCACACACGTCAGCGGGTCTGCCTCTATATACAACGTCTCACACGTGCAGTGGCGTATTATCGTCCGTGGATTGTTGTGTGTGTGTGTGTGTAGGGGGGGGGACGAAACATAATTTCTGTAATTACTTTTTTTTTTTGGTCGGTTAAGGTCACCCAAAATTCTATATTATTTTCCCAAAACATTTAGATCTAAGTAGGCCACTGCGTACGCCTATAGTATAACTATATATTACTTGACTGCGGCGGTGCATTTATGTTGAGCTGTTTTTTGTAAAGTGGACCACCCGGAGTCTCGTAGTTGTCGAAGCTGCCTCCGTAGCTGTTGGACAAGCTGCTGCTCTGTCCGTACAACGACTGAGGACCGTCGCCGCCTCCGTAGAGTGGGCCACCGATTGGGCCGCTGATCGGACCAAATCCTGAGTCGACGACGGCCGATGCGGCCTTGATGCCGTCCGCGCCGTCACCATGATGGTAGTGATGGTGGACGTGCTGTTGTAGGCCACCGGCTGGCAGGGCCACGGATGGAACTCCTCCTAAGATTGGCTGCTTGGGCCGGTACGACTCCGCGGCCTCGGACTCGAATACCTGTGGCGGTCGGCTGCTGATGCCGTATACCGGGCCGGGCCGGTTGCGTATGGGTGGACCGTTGCCGAACGAAGACGGACCGCCGCTGCCGTATGACGACGGTGGGCCGTTACCGTACGACGATGGGCCACCGCTACCGAACGACGACGATGGGCCGCTGCCGTACGACGAACTTCCAGACGGATACGGGACAGGACGTGGTGGACCGTATCCAACGGATGACAGCGGTGATCCAGTCGACTTGATCGGTATGGCGGCAATGGGACGTCCGACGGGTTTCAGTGACACGGGCTGTGCGTAAATTAGATCCTGAGGACCGATGTAGCGTTTGGGTTCCACCAACTCGTCATCGTCACACTGGAAACGAATTAAAAAATAAACACACTGTACCTATACAACTTAGATTGTATTATTTGTATTGCATGCGTCTGCAGTTCAAGCCAAAGTCCAATTGTATAATGTCTATGTAATAACATAGTCGTAATTGGTTAATAATAAGCACGGACTTGGGCATGTGATAAAAATTGTTTCAGAATTTTAACTATTTTATTATGTTTATACTGTCACGACGTTATAGATCATAGTGATAATCGAGCGAGAAAAAATTACTTTGTTCATTTGTAGAAATATTTTTTTAAAAATCCGTAATTGTATACGTCGATGAAATAAATATGACCATTATTGTTGCATATTATACGGTAAACCCCGTAGCTTACTCGTATCTACACGATACATGTGTCTACCGATATTGCCATTTTCAAATTTTTTTACCTCCATAAGACCCAAGCCGCACAGTCTGTCTCTGATGAGATGCCTGGGATGTGCGTCCGTGCCGTTGGCGGATGAGATTTCACCCTCCTGGCTGCCGTCGTCATTGGCCGCCGAATACGAGTCTATCGACTTGGCTTCGCGGTCCGTGGCTACAATGGAGTCCGAGGACTTAACGCTCGGCTCCTTGGTTTTTGTCTTGTCATTTCCCCACGACCATTCCTCCGCAGTCGAGGCATGCACGACGAGCGCGACCAACAGGAACGAGCCCGTTGCCAAAAATCTCATTGTGTTGTTGATTTTTGCCGTTGTTAAACTGTGGATGAGAAGGAGAAAAAAAACACCGTTTAAAAATCATATTGCTTATGAGTAGAATTATTATTATTATTATTTTCAGTACGAGTGTATGACATTTAATTTTCACTATTGATTCCTACTGCAATGTTTTGTATTATATTTAAACATATTAACGAATAATAGCAATATTGTAAATGTTTAAGTAATATATATATATATACATTATAGTATGTTAATTCCACTTTTTATATTATTCTTAACAGTTATGAAATTGGTAGGTACGTGAAGAGGGAAAAACTAACATTAAGACATATAGAGACATTATAAAGTGTGCGAAGTATTCTGTGGATTGGATGGTTATAAGTTATGACCCATAGAAATTGGAATGAGATGGATTAACAAGAAGGGTGTTTGTCTTAAAGAGAAATATGAAGAGAATATTGTTACTATTCTACAGGTTACCATGAGATAGCCCCCTGTGTGTTAAAATTGCCTAAGCCGGACGCCGATAGACTATTTTATATAATATTTTATCGTTGTGGTAAAAAGACATAATATTGTGTACGCGTTTCGATTGTAAATATTATTTTGGCTCACGTATTCGCCAATATTACAACGTCACAATTCTGCAGTCGTCAGAGCAAACTGTTACTGTAACGCCTCTGTATAAGACGTTTGGGCGGCGTCTTTCGTAACGGCGCACTCGCAGCTCCGGATAATAAAGAAAAAAAGTAAAAAGTAATTTGAAATCAACGCATGCCGCACGTGGTATGCACGTTTTATGCGGTGAAGTAACGTGGTTGGTTATTTTACGGATCTATTATGTTATGGTTGTGATAATATGTGATCGACAATGCGTACGATATATTATCCGTTAAAAAAAAAATGTAATAAAAATTGACAAGATTTCAAAACGACCAGTACCAGGCGTTATAATTTATATAAATATGATATATACATTGACATATTGTATAATATAATAGAACGGAATAATAATAATAACAATAATAACCATATGTGAGTAATATTATTTAGTATAATATATTGTACAATATAATATTATAATCTGCAATGGTATTATTGAAAAAAATTTCGTAACGATGTGTGGCGCGTCGCGGTTAGGTTATTAAATTATACGCGCTTAAATAATACTTAAATAATATCTAGTCGAGATCGTCCATATCCGTATGTCCAGCCCGTAACTACCCGAAAATGACCTCAAACCACCTTACTTAAGGGTAGGCAGTACAAATAGAATATCCATTAGAAATAGAATTCCAACACAGATTTTGAAAAAACTATTAATTGTATACGTAGGTATAGGTTCGGTAAAAACGGTCCGAGGCAAATTGTGCGTGGCTTGGGATTATAATATAATATAATATACTCGAAATTATCAATAAATAAAAAAATTAACGTCCTATAGCAAATCGTTAGCCGCAAGACGTACCTACTCATCACTTAAATAGCCGCTAATGTTTTGATTTTATTTTCAAACTCTTTCCATTCCGATCACGCGCGGGCGGGCGGTTATACTCAAAGACGGTGTGGCGCGGCGTGGATTGCGTGCGTGCGTATTATAATAACGTTGAGCCTGCGAACAAAGAGAAAGCGAACGTTGTCCAAAACGCTTTCACTTTCGGTCGCCCACCGGATTCGGTTTTTTTTCCGCCGCCGTTCCCACACACGCGCTCAATGCCACGACATGCCGCCGACCTTGAAAGCTAGTATTAATATTATTATTATTATTATTATTATTATTATTATGTCATCGGCCACAAATATGAAGAGGAGCGAGAGAGATGATACTATATACGCTTTGTATTCCGGGCGACCGGTCTAGACGCGATGTCATAAATGAGCGCGACGCGATCGTCATCAAATAAGGGGGTAGTTCGGTTTTTAGTACGAAGTGGGTGGTGAGAGGGAGAAGTTAAAATTAGGGACGCGTGAAAACAATGGTTCGTTAATTTTTTCGTTTTTCTCCCCTTATATAGAGGTACGCGCAATATGTCATAATGACGATGTCGATCACGTAACGTCGATGCGCGGTAGGATCGCCGTCGTCTCTCCGAGGTCGACCGATGACAATAAAATATATAATATACCTACTATATTATAGGCAAGCATGCGAATATTATTATATTATTATTATAATAACGATGATATATTCATTTTCGCGATGACGGCATTCGCGAAAACAATCGTCGTTCGTTTGCGCGTGTATTATAATATATTATATATTATGTATACGTTACATTTGTGTATACCTACGCTCGCGCCGGGCCAGTCGTTTTATGCGTTCCTATTACGATATTTTTATATGTATATGAGTCACAGAAAGCGAAATTTCGAATATTATGTAATGAAAAAATGTGCGCGTGCAACACTTGTCGTGAAAATATCCAGGGGTCGTCGATCTTTTTATTTTGAAATTTCCTACTCCCGGGCCATCTTTGGTGCCTTTGCATCTCACCCTCATTAATCTGTGTGGACATTTCCCCTGCACCCTTCAACTAAGTTGGTACATTTGCAAATAGCCTGTAATAAATATATAATTTTACATAAATATTTGTATACATAATATTTATGCAGCAGTTGATTCGCCAAGCATGCACAACTCCAATTTTTCCATTAATAGTATATTTATTCAAATTCTGATGGTTGGAATTGTCAAATATAACTGAGGACCATGTTATTTTCAATTATTTAGATCTATCATCAGCTAATAATTTACCGAAAAAAGGTTGATTCTTATTTGAAAAAAAAAATGAATATCCCCACAAGGCACTGCTTAATGGTACAACAAATCTATAAGAATTTGCCTAATTTGAGAAACAGTCTAGCACCATACTTGTTTTAAGCCGATTTTATGCCGAGCTGAATATTTTCAATCATTTTTGTGACTGTTATTATCTAATATATATTTGAGGAGGGTAAGCCTAGGAATGCTATAAGCTTAATATATTACATCATACGAGTCTTCCGTTCTGTATATTTTACTTTTAGATGAAAACCAAAAAACAATTCCGGTGAGATAATTTTAATAGGAATAGTTTAAGTCGACACGACGACTTGGTTTTATATACCTATTAAATGAGCATAATGAGTATATAAACGTTGAAAAGAATGCATAATAATATGTGAGTCGAGCTTTGTTGTAGATGTATTATGCGGCTTGATGACTGATACGTCAGAACGGTCTGGGATGACGTTCAAAACCTGCAAGACAGAGACAGAAGTTTTCTGGAATGCTAAACGATTAGGATATATACGGCAATGCGCAACCAAACCAAATGTTCGAGTCGGTGAAAAATCAGAATATTAAATCGAGAGTATGACACGTAAGTAGACTTTAAAAAATATAATTTAAACGTGGAACGTCAATTTATGCATTTGCCACCCGTAAAGAGTTGTAATCTTTATTACCGACCCCGCTCTCGGTTGCCCACTCTCAGTTCGACAATAAAATAAATAAATAAATAAATCAGAAACATTTTCTACTCGGTGACGAAATAATAAAACACGGTTTTTCGATCGGGACGTCGGGTGAACACTTTAACTACATCCTCCGCAGTTTCTCAGTCACACGGCGTGCTTTCGAAAAACGTGTTTTTATTATCCGGTCGAAACAGCAAGCACGCGATTCACCCGTACGCTTTACAATAATTGTGTTACGTAATATTAATGTTATACACGCGGGTCGCATGCACCCGTTCGGAGGGCGCATGAAGGGTGGTTTATACTGCGGACACGTTTTCCGCGTGAGCAATGGCTGTCGTCGGAGCTGAGTTCCAGGAAATTCGGGCATTATATGATACCGTTGAAATGTGATGCGTTTGATAATAATAATAACAACAATACAATCGCCTACACACGTACATATACATATAATGTACATATAATGTAGCTATATAAACCTGGATCGTGGACGAAAATTTAATTTTTCTCATCGTTATGCGATTACCGTTGTTTTTAAGTATCGTCTCCACCTCAGACTCCACGCCACGTGTTGTTGCGGTAAAAAAGCTTTTCATAATATTATATTAATTTTTATACAATGATATCGTTCGCTATATACCTATATTGTTCCCGGAATTATGAATAACATGATATTTCGACACTCGTGGTGATCACATTTTGTGATTCCCTCCACCCAATCGCGGTCAATAACCCTTTTTTAAATTTACTTATCTTAATGCTTCGGAGCACTTAGTGAATAAATACGCGTTAAATATATTGATTTTAATATACTAAAGCCGGGTCGCATGAAAAATGTATTCATTTAATGGTTCAATAAAATTTAATGGACCAATCATGGGCCACTAATTCATGTTTAAAGGACCATTAGCTTGGTTAAATGTTTAGTGATTGTTCATGCGACCCGCCATGACTATATATAGATACAATATACCTATTTCATTGTCTACTGTTATTTGCACAAGTAAAAATAAAATGTTACGAAACAAATAGAGAAATAGAGTAATAATAATAATCAAAATAATAGAAAATCAAAACGGCCAACTAGCGATGGTTTTACGTAACGCGAAATATAATAATAACAACAGTTTGAGAAATCCAAACATTGCGTGATAGCGATCAGCAGCATCAGCCTACGCCCTGCACGATGCGGACGTCCGGAAATGGACGTGCGCGGCCCACGCAACTATGATACATATTATAATATTATTTACACCTCCAATAAACGCGTCGAGGAGCCGAAGACGGAGGCAGAGAGAGCTAGAAGAGAGAAAAAGATAGAGAGAAAAACGATTTAAAAGCGGAAAAAGAATTATCTACGACGATCGTAATAATAAGACCACTGCTCATCACGAGAGAGGGTTATTGGCATGCGTTGTCCGAACGGAGAAAGTGAATAATAATTATAATATTATATAGGAACCTATTACCACGGTATCGGTGACCTCGGCGGTGACTACATCGTTATACATGACGTACTGTATTACATTATAATAACGATTACCGTGTTTTTTTTGTTATGGATTATTTAACGGATCAAACACACCTTTACACGGTAGCAAATATAAAAATATTATTATGTTGTCGACTCGGTGGTTTTACGTAATATCGTTTATAGTATCATTATAATAATTTATATATTGTCGTCGTTTCCTCGTCCAACCGCTTTATTATGATAATACAGTTATTATTTATATTGGTGTTCTGTAACAATCTCACCTCGAACCAGAGGGCAGATCGAGTAATCGGGTAAATCGCGATAATAAATTATGTAAAGTAAGCGGCAGACGATAAACGGTAAACATCAGGTATCTCGCTGACCACCGCATCGAAGAATTACAATTTAAAATAAGGGTGGTGGACATATTATTTCGACTCGAATTCTTAAACGTTTGGGTATCGGGGATGCAAACGAAATTTATTTTGTAATCAAATATACATTTCAGTTTATTTACCAACAGTATATTTTTATAAACCTAATGATTACTCGTATGGTGTATTATTATAATTAAAGTTATCCTTATTATTATTTTTTCAATCGAATTTTTATTTTAAAAAATGTAAAAATAAACCCAAATTTAAGATAAATACTTCTGTTAGGTTCATCATCCTAGTACTTCAATTTAAATAGTTTATTATAATTAATCATTATTATTATTACTATTGTTATTATTTTTATTATTATTATTATTATTAGTAGTAGTAGTAGTAACTTCACCTATAATAACTTTTCACTATAGAAGCTAATAAAAAAAAAAAAATTAAATTACTATTTAGTAACTATAGTATTAATTGTTGTAGTATAGGATATTACCTAGTACCTACTATAAAATGCCTTTCAGTTATTATAACGAGAATGTGAACAATTATATTACTCGGGCTTAAGGATGCTCTTTTAAGAGCCAAAACAAAATGTATGACTTTTAATTAATAAACGCATTACATATTATAATGAAATTTTTATAATTTTATAGTTGTACTAAAAGAACTTCAGAACTTTAAAACTAAAACCTTTATAATACAAATACTTACAGTAATTGTTTTCAAATAAACTTAATAATACAATATTTTTAATTAACATTATACATTTTAGTTTTTACTACCTCATTTTAACCTGATAAATTAACAGTCTTAAATATTTTAAATCAACTTGTTATAAAAAATACAAAGAAAATCTAAGCCTACATTATTTCACTAATATTCTATCAATTGATAAATTTAATTGAATTTAATGAAATTCACTTGCGACAAATTCTTTACGAGTGTGTATGGATCAAATTTTAAATCATGAAATAAATCAAAAATTACTATTACACCGAAAAATGAGTGAACTCTAACAACTAAGACTCGAAGTCAAAATCAATAAACGAAACAAAAAATAAAACAAAATATTACCTTTATCAGTATATCCAATGCGTTGTTGTGACGTTTGTGCCAGAATACAGATACGACAGAGACGCAAGTTCAACAGTGTTTAAGTCTCTTCACTTGGACGGCCGTAATATACTTTCTCCAACGATCACAGACTGACTTGGGATTACGGTAACAGCCGGATTTATTATGTATTTTTTTCGTCCCTACTATTTTTGTTTTCAAGACGCATCCGGCCACCTTCTATCTCCGCGTGTATATACCTGTATAATAATGCATAATAATATTCGCCCCCACCGCGGGTCAGCTGCACAACGGCCACTGTGCAATACTATTGGTAGTAAGGCACGCCGAAAAAACAACAACAAACCGGCTAAGGCCGTTCACTCTCCGCGTCGGAAAAAACCGAGTCTTCGCAACAATCAATGCCATTCGTCTGCTGGCGCGGCGGCGGCGGTGGACAAACCGTGTTGCAGGCTACCGTGGCGGCGACGCTCGTGTTCCCGGAAACCGTCAAGGCTCTCGTCGGGTAAAACGGCCACGGTTGTTTCTCAAACAGACCGGTAAACCGGATCTATGTTCTGTGATGCAAATCTATTGTTTTCTCCGGATCTTAATAGTCATCATCGACTGCCCTATGACGTTATTAGATGGGTAACTAATGCACATAATAATGTATATGTACATATCTACCGTATTACCTATTCGTAGTTCGTACTCTATTGCACATTTGCAAGCGCCAAGTCTTATCCGATTTTAAAACCATCGGATTATGTATACTTAATACTGTTACTCAACGCGTAATCTAGTGGATTTCTTTCTCGTACTCATGAATCGAAAATCTCTGATGTAATAGAAAGTCCGCGACTATTATACGTCTTCAGCTGCAGTGCGATGTGCCGATGCACTGCCGCTTGCAGTATGACACTATATTATAGTATGTAATAATAATTATACCTAATAACAATCAAATAATCACCTATTATAGGTACCAGACGCGTGATTCATTTATCTTAATACACTCGTAGCTTCAAAAACTATTAACGTTGTTTGCATAACTTAAAGTAGACGAAAAGGCAAATTTTTTGAAAAAAATCATATTTTTACTATTTTTATCGTTGTCATTTTGTAAGTTTTTACTTTTTTGAATGACAACATGTATTTTTAATTTCATATCTCGAAGCAGAATATTATTTGTAGTATATCCAATTTCTATGTATAAAAATTAAATTTTGGACAATTATAGTTATTAGTATTTATAAAGTTTAGATGACTGGATCAACGTTATTTAGTGATGTATACCATATACCAATATACTCCAATCAGTTGCATTGCATGTTTATTGAAAAAATTTAAAGATTGCACTTGGATGGACGAATACTATTTGGAATAGTTCTTGGGTGCATTAATCTATATTTTTTGTATCCCATCGTGTGTATTTTTCAGACTTATTCGAAGTCAGTTAAAAGTTAAAACGTATGTAGGCTATACAAATACTGAGATATCTAAATATCTTGGATACCTTTTGTGACCTGTTAATTTTTTTCTCGTGATTATATAAAAAAAAAATTGGTATTAAGGAAATTAAAAAAGGGCTCTACGGCTGAAGTATATAACTTGAGTATAGACATTTAATCTAAACTTGATTTTGAGTACCATTGTCATCAAAATTGTCACGATAATATAGTTCAGCTAAGACAAACGTATTTTAATTAACGCGATTATTCATTATAATAAGATTTTAATACTTTAAAATATTTTCAGCATTTATTTTCCATTAAAATATTTATAATTATTATTGTTTTACCCCAAACTTGAATACGCTTTGTTACATAAGTATATCACGGTCGAGTGTAAGTAGGTTGACATAATCCGGATCTCGGTATATTGTCATAATATGACACAAATAAAAAATTAGTCATAAACAAAATTGTTTATTTTATTTTACTTAAAAAAAATTTAAGATTGCACACAGGTATTTCGACAGACGACACGACTGTAATTTTACTGCAACAGATAACCTAAAGGTATCATATAATGCTGGTCGTTCTTTTGTGTTAGAGCAAAGAACATAATATGGATCGATAAAATAATTTTATAGCCATGTTTCAGACTTATTTTGGTAAAACGTGCCGATAATTTGAAACTTTAATTGTGTAATTTAATACCTAATGACATATTAACCAAGTATGCAATATTGTGGTGACAAAAAAAAGTGTTTTTCAATGTGTCACTAGTCTTCGACATTTTGATGTTATGTGAATTATTTAAAATAGAACAAAACTTAATATAAATTTGTAACACCTGTATGGTCTATGATTTAACGGACGTAATACACAACCTGCTCGCTACGTGTACAAAATTTAGAAATGTACGAGTATTATGTATTGTATTGCATCAATTGTATGGTGACTCATATAATATTTTATACATAGCCAAAATACAACTTTTTTAATAATAAATACTATTATATGTCTTATGACTAAATTGTTTGGTACATTTTTATTATTATTTTGTATGGTACTTATAAAGAATATTTACTAAATATTTTTGTGTCAGAAGCGTACACCAAAATGATCATAATATAGATAGGTACATTATCCTCTGGTAAATAAAAGTACAATTCATTTTAGCTTTTATCATTTAAAGTTTTAAAACTTCTAAAATAAAATAACTAATAAGTTATTCTTACTATAGGTATTTATAGATTAATTACCCTATCTTTTAGGGAGTTCAAAATTAATTTCTCGCCACTTACTTGGTAAAATAGTAATTTTAGATGACGGACGTACGTAGTTGTATTTTATTCAGTTGGTGGCTCTTGTTCATATAACATAGGCTACAGGTTATCATTTTTAATTATTTTTTAATAAATCTTGAAAACTGTTATTTTTTAAGACAGCGTTAATTCAGAATGAATAATAATAATAATAATATTTTCAGACATTTAAATTTTATAATATTTTTAATTAAAAACCACATTTATTGATATACGTTGTTTTTTCATGAAATTATAATAATATATTATAATAATATAATATTACCTACCTATTTAGTATGTTTTTAGTTTAAATTGGAAAAAATATTTCGAAAATGTTTGTAGATAAAATATGTTGTTAAGTTGTTTAAATGTTCAGTGTTCACTTGCATAATATATTATAGTACATAATATAATAACAAATAATATTTTTAAAACTTTATTTTATAGCCATTAGACTTATATCCTTATTACTCATTTTCAATATTGCATTGTATATTTGCATGTTTATTACACACTATTCGTTTATGAAAGAATAATGCTTATAATAAAACTATAATTTCAAAAATATATTTGTCACAAATATTATATATGAATTAATATAACTGTATATATAATTATATCGTTGGGGACTTACATGCATACGCCGTCATGTAGATTGTATCAATATACATATTATATATTACATTAAAACACTTGTGCCAGTAAAACTATCCTACGTAAAAATTCGAGCTGAGAGAAAAGGTTCAGTAAGTTGTATAAGTAATAGTCGTATAATATATTGCGACGAGTATCTCCTACGTAAAAAAAAGGTGAAATTTACTTATTGTTCTTTTACTAATTATTAACGTCTGTCCGTGCTAATAGATTATGATATGAAAAATTTTTTTTTTATAAACACTAAATATTATTGATTTTGAAAATATAATATGATCATTGATTATTTTATAAAATTACAATTTATACAGGTATACCTACCACTAGTTGCAGAGTAATTCGGGTATGTATTTCGAGTAGCTTCGTTTAAATAAAAATAAAAATAACCAATTAACATGAGGTTATTAATGGGTATGATTATTAATTATGTAGGTGCCTAATGTTGTGGATGGTTTTTTGGCTTTATCGATATTTGCAATCGTACTATTGCCAAACGCCTAATATCGATTATTTGTTAGTAAAACCGCATGTTATTAACCGTATGTCCATATGTATATTTGTATATTACGCAGAAGAAGAAAATGATGCGAGTGGGCTTACACTAAATTTGAAAGTTAGAATAATATTCATCATTGTTACTTTCGAATAACTTTTTTGAGCGAAGGTGTTCATTTGCAAAAAAAAAAAAATTAAGTATAAATTAGTGTCGAGCGAAAAAAATAATACCTACATAAATCCTATCGTTGTTACTCGTTAAAACGTAGTTGGACTACTGTAGGTAAAGTAGAGAGCTTTATATTTTTGAGAAAATATTTCACGTAACATCTCACATACTTACCGATATAATAGTAGTAACCATATATAGGTAACCACCTACCTAATATATTATAATATAAATGATGTTTGATTATATACATTGAGAAAAATTAATAATATCATTGATACTATATATTTTTATAGGTTTACTTCATGAAGGAAAAGTCAAGGAGCGTGTCACATAGAAGGACGGAATGATGATGATAATAATAATATGTCAAATAGGTATTATAATTATATAGTACCAATTTATATTGTATAACAAACTGTCGACTCTGTGCTGTAGTTATTGGTGGTTAAATGTCCATAATGTTATATATTATATATAGCTAAATACTCATATGTTCTCATTAGTGATAACTGTATGTATTCACTTTAACTTGTATGTCTTTTTTTTTAGGTCAGTTGCTCATGACTTTAAAGGATTACTAACATATTTTAACAGTTGCTTCTTAATTTTCACGCTGGCGCCGATCACTGAACGGATATAGTATATTTAAATGTTAAAAATGCTGAATAATTAATAATAATAAAAGAAAACAGTGCATTAAAAACTGCCGCCTCCTTCGACATAACAATTTCCCGCAGGTAAGCCAATTTAGAATTATATACGGGTTGTCTCGTAACTAATTTTAACAACTAATTTTTTCTAAATTTTGAATTTTTTTAAATCATGTTTTACGTATCTAACGATCGCGTTTATTAATTTCTATCTCTGCACTTTAAACCACGTTATGCAATATAAGATATCAGTAATTAATGAAAAATTCATAACTCCGTAGGAATAGATATAGAAACAAATCGATTTAAAATGTTTTTTTTCTAGGGACTAAATTATAAAAATCGTCAATATGCACACATAGATAAAAACGTTAGTATTATTAGTTATTACACAAAAAAAAAATTATTATTATACATAGGTACCTACAACCCCGTTAGGCAAGCACATAACGCCGTGTGTGGAGTGATGTAACACAATCGTTTGTATTTTAGTACAAATGTAATTTTTTTCCCGTTGAATAAAACGCAGTTTAAGTATTTATACATATACATTTTACGTACATGTATTTATACGTGCACAATTTTCTGTAGAGATAAGTACTTGCTGTACGAGTGTGGTAGTTTAGGTATAGTATTTAAACCTATATATATATAGTTACGCAGGATACGGCTTGCATTATAATATATAGATCGTTTTACACAATTGCGATTGAAAAGTGTAATGGCCGTGGATTAAGAAACGTATAATATACAATTCGTCCGTCACAATACAGTTTAGCTGAGATTTAAACGGATTTCTCAACGACAAATTTCGTCGACATAATTCGCACTGTGCCACTGTCAGTATATAGGTAATAACTCAAGCATTTTCGATTTTGAGTTATTCACGAAAACTTATTGTAAAAATAATTACTTTAGTTTGTTATATCGTGTATTGGTACAATTGCATAAGTTATAGACACTAGATACATAATATAGTACCTATATAAAAAAGAGATATACTCGATCTGTGTGTAGCGTAATTATTCTGCAGAACTCATGCAGTACAGTAAAAATGCATATTGCACCTAAAGATAATTTTCATTCGTTGTTGAATTATAAAGTTTTAGTGTATGATATTATATTTATTGTTCATGTGATCATGAAATCACCATGCTGCCTGTGATATGAAATCAGATTAATACAAATTAAATAAATATTGTTATTACTTGTTATTACAAGGAAATTATTTTTAAATATTACCATACCACTCCTCATATTAAATCTATGATACCAAATATTCTTTATAGATACATTTCACTTTTGTGTAGCGAAATTTGAATACATTTTAATATGTATGAATAAGAGTAAAATTATATTAATGGATGATATTGTTGCCATAAATGTGAAAAAGAATAATCTGAAATCTGATTATCTGAGAAAACTGATTTTAGCCAATCCAAATATAAAACCATTGACTTACGTATAAGCTATAATGAACTTCATCAATATTTCATTCTGTTAAAAAAGCATAATTTTAAAATGAACTTACAAAAATATCAGAATAAAAAAAGATAGATCTACATTGTTTTATTTAAATTTAATTCAAACGCACTCTACATATCATGATTTTTATGAAAAACTATCAACAGAAATTAATTAATCAGTATGTGAACTAAAAAATTAAAATTGTTCATTTTTCATAAAAAAAATAACACCCTATGGTTTATTATAAAGCAAGTACCTAATAAAAAAAAATTTTAATAAGTATTTTAATGCTACTTATAGATAAAATGTTGTCAAGGCACATTTTTTTTTAATGTTATATTATTGTTTTCTTTATCTTTATGAATAAACTAAAAAGGTCTCCAACAGTTGGGAAATTTGTTTATAATTACATTAACACTAATTATATACTCAACTTAACTATGGCAGCATTACAATGGGTAAATATACACTTTGTATAACAATATTATCTAAATATTTACCATTATAACACATAATATCTACAAATAGTTTATGTTATTTGTTTTTTAATTAACAATATGGGAAATGATTTGTCATTTAAAACTATTTATGATTTGTAATTAGTTATCACACATTATACCTATATTATATACTCTACATTCAAATAATTGTAATTTGTTGAAAATTGAAATTAATCAATGTAGTGAGAAATAATTGTTTACCTATTTTATTTTCAATACATGAAACGTTCACCTATATACTTATACTAAACACTGTCTATCTATCAATAATAATGTAATACCAAAATGTTGAACGTTAACATAAAATACTTTTTGTTTTATTATTGTTTTTACATTATCAAACATAGGTACCTAATAAAAATGTAAAAATTCGATTTACTCACATGTTACGTTTCTGAGTTACTACACGAATGTACTGCGAGTGATTATCTCGGGTTATTCCGGGGTATTCCGTGTATAAAATACGCCTACCGGCCTACCTACGTATTGAAATCATAATGGGTTATAATGTATAATATTGTGTTTAGTATTTTATAATTTATTTTCTTATTGATATTTCCAAACACGGAACAGTCGCGGGCCACTTGGCATTCGACGACCATGTCGGCTCGGGTATATCCCAACATTCCCAACGATCTATGCCTAATCGGATTTTCAGCAATTATTGCATCTCACAGCGGTCCAGGGCTGTATTACAACCGGGGTTTCCCGACGGGCGACCGCCGAGCGTGCCGACCGGCGAGTAGGTCATCGACTCAATGCCACACGCGCGTACTACGACACCGAGGAGCTAGCTGGCAATGATGCAACCCGTTCTTGGTATAATATTTTACAGCGTTATAATATTATAATATTATTATATGGTGTACCTTTTGTACAATCGTTTATGCTGGGAATAACCACGTGTGTGATGTCCTAAATACTAGTTTCTAAGATTTGTTACACTCGACAACGATCGACCAATTACACGATCAATCACATTACATTATTATAATTTATCATGATAAAATATTCGTATTTGTTATTATATATAAATATAGGGGGATATTCTTTTATTATGAAACAGGTGACACACGAAATTTTTAAATAATGTTCACAATATTCCATGTATCATATAGGTACTCGCAATCTTGCATAGTACAGCGCCCAAGAAATCCACAATTTTTTTAAAATCCACAATCACTCAATGAACTGAATGAATTGAGAAACAAATTTGAATTATTTAAAACTCAATAGGTACTCCGCAAAATCTAGATAGAATTAATTTTAAATTATAAAATATCTTATACATAATATGTAAAATATAACATTACGTCTTTATACTTATAATACTGCTAATTATGGTTAATTACTGTATTTACTAATTGGTAATTAGTAATTAGTAATTACCAATATAGTATCACATGTAAATTGTAATCATCAGTAGCTTAAATTGAAACAATATTCGGTCCGTTTTTTGTTATAAGTACTAAATTTAAATTTAATATTCCCCGCGGTCCCACGACCTCAAGGCTCACAAAAATACTGTAAGTATTATGTTGTATCTTAATCGATTACTGTTAATCAAATGGTTGTACAATTATAGTAAATTCAATTTTGAGTCATGACTAAATATATTGCGTTGTGGATTTTATTTATTTTTCTAAATTAATATATTTGCGTATGTATTACCATTGAGTACGTATATAGATAATGATTTTAAAATAATAATTCCTGGCTGCACTAAACATTTAATGAATCAGTAGTAAGGTTTTAATCCCCTAAATAAGGTTCAGTACCTAGTCCACGATTGGTCTATTAAATTTTAGCAAACCATTAAGTTTAAACATTTTTTGTATGCAACACGACATTAGACTAATTTTTAGAAATAGACAGGTATTTAACATTTTAAATTTTTTTGTAAATAAATGTTGTAGCACCTCGATTAAAAACGTTGACAATAATGCAAGGTTCCTCGTGATAGCTGTACTAATACTCAGAGCGATTAAAAAATATCGGAAATACTTAGACACAATTTGCTTATAAGCGTTTGAAGTTCAAATTTTGGAGAATTTTAAGTTGTTATCAATAAGTAAATTGGGAATAATATACTCTTTATATATTTTCAAATTGAGTGTAAGAAAGATATTCTTCTTTGGATATTTTGAATAATATGCATTTAAAAATCTATCACAGTTATATTTATATTTGTTTATAGACGGCTTAGAAACCTTTTTGGGAATAGAGAGTCCCCCTGGTTTCCACCAATTTAGTTATTAAAGTATTAAAAACAAACAATAAATACCATGCTGTTAAATAATATACAGAAAGGTTATAGATTTACTATAAATATATTTAAATATTTATTATTTGTTTATTATCATTTAAGATTCAGCAGCTAAATAATAATTTGGCTTGTGTTTTGGCTTGGTTTGTACAATATATCTAATATTGTACAATCGTGGTATTTAATATTAAAGCATGTATATACAGTAAACATAGTAAACAGCCATATAGGTAGTATAATATATTATATTCAATGGTAGATACTATATGTCTATTTATATACGAAAATATGTTTAATATTTAATACCCGACTTAAAACTATTCATTGTTTTACAATCTTCTGATAATACAATGAATGAATTCCATTCAACACGAAGTAGCAACAAACATAAATGTATTCATAAAATCAATCTGCATTAGTGTATTACATTTCACTTTATACTTTATTTATAATAGTATTGTCATGTTTAGATAATTCACTTAACTTCCGTTTGTGTTATTATTGTGACAAGAAAAGTATTTTAAAAAAATAACATAAAAATTGATATTAAAATTAAAGGTTGGTATAATAAAATAATAAAATATTATTAATTTTAGCGGTTGCCTAATTTTGAACGCTACTTAAGTCAAATATAACAATGGAATTATAGACCGTTGTATGACTTGAAAGAGTTGTATAGTTATATATTGTAATATGAATACTTGATATTATGCTCTATATTTTGATTATAATATATCTACGTTGCGACATAAAAATGAGAATTTACAATACATCAAAACCTATAACTATAATCTACATGTATGTATATGTATTATATAGGTACCTACTCTATTATTGCGGTAAAATTTAAACTATTATAAATATTTATATAATTGTTTTTAATATTTCGTCACATCACAGATACAAATATAATATCATAACATATATCATGTGAAACCACTGCAAATGTAATATAAGTAACTAATTATTATCGATAAAAGTATAAAATAGAAATCAAGATAATTAAATTATGTATATGTCATTGTTATAAGTTATAACGACCAATATAACATTAATGCGTTTTAATCACTTCGTAGATCGTATAACTCACTTTAGATGCATAATAGTACTGTATGTAGCTGATTGATTATAAGTTACAACATGGTGTCAATATAACCTAACCTAACCTAAACATGAATAAAGTGTAAAGTATAATCTATAGGTATAGGTTCGTAAAATGTTAAAAATTATTTAACTATAAGTTTAAACAAATTTTAACAAGTCTAAAAACCAACATTGCACTGTTTTATCTGTGTTTTAATATTTTATTTAATCATATTAATAGTTTTGTACACAAAACTTTGATTGTAGAAACCTTTGTTTAGGAATGTTGAAACATTATATTATGTTATCGTAAAACTTTTTGTTGAAATATTTAAGTATTTACCTAGTTATAAGTTATTGTAGCTACTTACGATTAATTATTTTTTCAATAAGT